GCTAGTATGCCACAGCCATTTATGTGTTGTTCATTTTATGTTCGGTCAGTGAACCGTTCAATTGTTCGTGTACTAACCTCATGTTTGCGAAATGTTGATAGTTGTTTGTGTGTGTTCCAGAGATGTGGGCAAGACCGTTCTTCCTGACATTCCTGTTCTATCTGACATCTCCGACAACGGCCAACGTTCTCTTCCTGCCCCGAGGCCATCTCTACGCTTCATACGACCACTGGACTCTTCACATCCCCATCGAAACCAGGACATCATGGACGTTTGTATTGAAGCTGGAGCATCATGTGAAGCTCTTTAAAAGTAAAGTCAGTAGTATATTTGCAGAGCACCGCCAACAATTGCGAAGTGACCAGGCAATTCAGCTTTTTGCTAAGTTTAACCAGAGCGTAAAAGTTATTGACATTGTAATAGATACTTGGTCAAATGCGGTACTTGTTGATCTTTCGGAAACTAATGTTTCACTCCCCGAAGCCGTAAACTTCATTCCCCCACTTCAGGACAAAAGTGTCCATTTGTCTAACTTGAAGGAACATATTCAACAGATTCGAGTACGCAATGCGCAGCATAATAAAACTGTCGTTATCCCCGCCATCTCGGTCACAACGTGTATTGTGGTTGCGTTAGTGCTATTAACTGTTCTATACGTCCGATGTCATGTGTTTAAACCCATTATGATCCGACCCCAGAAAGTATCCGCTCAAAATCCTGCCCCTGACAGCGTTATTGTTGAAGAAACGTCAAGTGTAGCTCCAAATATCAAGCCCCGGGAAAAACTCACGGACCCAAGTCCCTCGTGCTTAAAATGGTTAAAACCGTCTCCAACCCTCGCTTCTCAGAAATCCGCAGATGCCTGATGCAAATATTTTCCAGAGGAGTTCTTTCTCCGCAGCAGAGGTACCAGTAGCAGCGCTCCCACACTCGGTCGAGCCGCCGCCGGTGCTAGTCAGCGCCACTGAGATCGGGCCGCCCCGCATCGGACACCCCACGTCCGGGCGCCCCGATAAAACTACGCTGACGCGTGGTCTGGTCAGCCGACACCGGACGGACGACCCACAACAATACGCGAGACGTGAGAACGTCAATGTGTCAATATCTGACACACGATCTGGTGTCAATGGACAATGGACGGACAAACACGTGTCAGACAGCAGCGTCAAAGGTGACCTGAACCCTCTGAACTCTCTGAACTCCCTGAACTGATGTGCCCGCAGCGGAATCTTACCAGTGATTGCGAAGCGAGAACCGAATCGATGAGCACGAGTGGGACAGTAGACTATGTTTCGTAAGCGGACAATGAAGAAGACTCTATAGACTTATAGCTACGAGGACTACAACGAAAAAGAACGGGAAATTGTGTGTTGAGGTGCTGTGTATATGGTTGTGTTAGGTGTTGTTTGTGCTGTGTCGTGTGTTGTGTACGTTATATCATGCATCATATTAGGAGTATCCCAAGCCGAAAATTTTGGTCAAAATTTCAGCTTTAAGGACCTCGCGTTGTGTTGTAACGAAATTCGTTCCTACCCCATCCTCCACCTCCCTCTGTACCTACTTACTGCCCAGCCCCCTCGCCCACTTACAATATCCTTATATGGTCCTCACTCCTCACATGCGACGCCTGTCCTTGCCCGCTTCTGATTGGTGCTATGATATGACGTACATCTATATGTATGACGTGTGTGTATGACGTTTGAATATAGCGGCCGACGCCGAACGCCGAGCAGGAGCTGTGAAAGATTCATTCGAAAGCCAACCGCCGTAGCGGCCTGACGTATCGTTATTCAAAGTCTCGGCCGACTGTTTATTACTTTTGGATTCTGTCCTCAAATTTGCAATACATACTTCAAGAAAAGAAAAACCGTGTTGGTTATACGGCTCGAACAAGAGGTCCCCAAACAGACTATCACAGAAGAAGAAATTGTTTATTTACTTATTACATTTGTTACAGACGTCCCGATGGAAGCCCTGCTGCTCAAACGGTCACCCTGGAGAGAAAGTTAGTCCAATGATGAGGAATTGACCTCACCACCGGGGGAGCGGGGGCGCGGATAGATCTTTCTAAGTAAGACAAGGGTGAGTGACTGAATATAAAACGGCAGGCGAGATACTTTGCTCACCGTACTGATGGCATAAAGTGCAGTGGCAGATAATGCTTTAGATATGTGCACTCGTGTCGATATATGATCGGTTTCAATAAAGGGATCACGGTGACCAGTAGTTTTCACGGTAACTTCAGAGAGTTGAGACCTCACGCCCCGGCACTTTGGCTGATAGGTGTCAGATGTCACTGTCCGAGTGACAAAGCTGGCAGTCTTGGACCGAGGAGTGCACTCTGTCCCACATAAGTGCAGGGGGCAAAGGTGAGGGTGTACACTGCATCTCAACTGCTGTGGTCACTGAAACCCTTATTTTGAGACACATGGTACATAAAAGTAAATAACTACAGGGTGATCATTGGTCAATAAAGAATGACATAATGTTAGCCCCGCGGGAGGCACATAATATAGCTTTTAATACATAAATAACATTCCGTTAAAATGAACATTTTGGACATTTGAGATGACAAACATGGATGTCCGCTGTGACGCTTCGTTTGTCTATAGGAAGTGCTCGAAGTAACCTCACCTGCTCAAGTGTAAATGCTCAATTTAAGTGCGATCGGAATAAAAAGAACTTTGTATAAAACCACTGTTTTGTGAGAGAAAGGGGGCTGATGTGTATGTGTGCGTGCGTGTGTGTGTGTGATGGGGGAGGGGGGTCTGTCGCAGCGTGGAGCGTGCGGCCGCCCACCAGTGCACCGAACCTGAGGGAGGACATGATGGAGAGTGTTCACTACGCCATGGTGGTGGCCTACTCAATCGGAACCACGGGAATGCCAAACTGCAACTGTACGATTCTTCAGCTTGCGCCTCACATCAATCTCATCAGTGTCAACTTTGACATCAAGGGGTTAAAGTCTCCGTTGAGACTTAAAAGTCTCCCTTGAGTGGTGGAAAGTATCGCCTATCTGTATGTGGTGAAGCATTAGCTATGGCAGAAAAAAATTGATCATGACATGTCATAAGTTTTGGAAACACAGCTAGCGCACTCGTCATCCAAGACATTGCTACAGACATAGATGATCATCACTTTAACCACGCATATTCACGCGGTTCACGAAAAAGGTAATGGGGTGTCATCTCATCTCAGCTTCGTGACGATAGTTATGAAATATTTGACACAAACATTGTGTCGATCGTGCGAGAGGTGTTGAGTGCCGACCGCCAACGCATGTCCATCCGCTTACACCATTCCATGACCGGTCATTTTTGTTCTGTGCAACTGGACCAGTTGCGTTGACCGGCCTTGCCTGGTATTCGTTCTGTGTAGGTAGAACACTGTTTTCAGACCGGTCCAAACTATCGTGGGAGATATTTCGGTAAGGACAAAATCGTTAGGCAACATCAGCCCATGATTTATAAGGCGGGCACCGATCTGGAGATTTACTGTCATTTCTGGACTAGAAGAGGAAACATCATGAGGGTGAGTTTTGGCTGCCAACAGCGGAATATGCAGAATAATGCGCCTGCAGCGTATTGACCTTGCTATATAGCAGTGCGATTTACTTTTTATTGTATGAAGTGTATGAAAACATTGCCAGAAGTTAAAGTTATCTTGTTGTAAAGCATATTGGTTTCATGTTTAAGCTTAGTTTCGGCGATGTATTGAATTCGCTTTGCACACTGCTCAGTCGTCCTTAAATATGATTTTGTCCTTCAAAATGTGATCAAGGGAAGACGGTTAGCACAAATTAAATCTAAAAATTGTTTTCAAGGCAAAAGACTTTAAATGCAACTACGCATTTCATTCTTGGACAAAATTGTCATATTTTGCAGGCTTCCTTTCAAGGTAATGGTAATGGGGTGTCATCTCAGCTTCGTGACGATAAAATATATAGCACAAACATGGTGTCGATCGTGCGAGAGGTGTTGAGTGCCGACCGCCAACGCATGTCCATCCGCTTACACCATTCCATGACCGGTCCTTTTTGTTCTGTGCAACTGGACCAGTTGCGTTGACCGGCCTTGCCTGATATTCTTTCTGTGTAGGTAGAACACTGTTTTCAGACCGGTCCAAACTATCGTGGGAGATATTTCGGTAAGGACAAAATCGTTAGGCAACATCAGCCCATGATTTATAAGGCGAGCACCGATCTGGAGATTTACTGTCATTTCTGGACTAGAAGAGGAAACATCATGAAGGTGAGTTTTGGCTGCCAACAGCGGAATATGCAGAATAATGCGCCCAGCGTATTGACCTTGCTATAAAGCACTGCGATTTACTTTTTAGTGTAAGAAGTGTATGAAAACATTGCCAAAAGGAAAAGTATTCTTGTTGTAAAGCATATTGGTTTCATGTTTAAGCTTAGTTTCACTGATGTATTGAATTCGCTTTGCACACTGCTCAGTCGTCCTAGAATATGATTTTTTCCTTCAAAATGTGATCAAGGGAAGACGGTTAGCACAAATTAAATCTGAAAATTGTTTTCAAGGCAAAAGACTTCAAATGCAACTACGCATTTCATTCTTGGACAAAATTGTCATATTTTGCAGGCTTCCTTTCTCCTTGGCTTTTGTATGTATCGATGTTTGCTTAAATGAAGCAGCGCCAACTGTGAAACCAATGTGAATATCCGATGTTTTCAGATAATCATTATTTCTGCCGTAATCGCTGTGGCATTGGCAGCTCCTCTTCCGTATTATACCAGCCCCAGAGGCCGGATGGGAGGTTTCCAAGCCTCTGGACCCGTTGGAGCACCTGTTGGAGGTCATGGAGGCTCTGAAGTCCTCGGCGGGAGGGAGGTTGGAGGAACTCGACCCAATCTTCGTGGTGCCGTCGGACTTGGTGGAAGTCGTGTGGTAGGAACTGGTGGAAATCGTGCTGTAGGAGTTGGGAAAAGTCGTGCTCTAGGAACTGATGGAAGACGTATGGTAGGAACTGGTGGAACTCGTATGGTAGAAACTAGTGGAAGACGTGCGGTAGGAACTGAAGGATCTCGTGTGGGAGGAGTTGGTGGAAATCGTGTGGGAGGAATTGGCGGAAGTCGTGGTGTGGGGCTCGGTCAAAGTCGCGCGGTAGGACTTGGTGGATCCTCCTCATCTTTGGGCGCCTCCTACAGTCAGGGCAGCTCCTTTTCGGTACCCAACTACAGCACCCGCTATTCGGTGAAGGACACCTTCTCAGGCGTGGACATCGACTCACAGGAGACCCGTCTCGGTGACCGCACCGAGGGCTCGTACTCGACGCTGCTTCCCGACGGCCGGAGGCAGATCGTCACCTACTGGGTGGACGGCAACTCGGGCTACAACGCCAGGGTGACCTACGAGGGCGTGGCTCACCATCCGCAGACCACGCCCCTCGGCTATGGGCGGCCCGCCGCAGGGCTGGGCTCACTTGCTCTGGGCGCCTCTGGCGGTCCTGGCTACGGAGTTGGAGGCGGTGTGACCTTTGGTGGTGGCTCCGGACTGGGTTTAGGTGGTGCTCTCGGGTCTGGTTACCGAGGGTCGGGTGTGGCGTACCGCAGTGCCGCCGGCAGGGGCTACGGTGGACTCTGATCAGTGTTGAAGGACCTGGGAGTGGAACGCGAGAGAATTGGTTTATGTAAATGAAATTAGGTGACAATTAGGTAAATGGCATTTAATATGTGTGTAAATATACAAGAGACGTACATATGGTAAATGACAATTGATATGTGTGTAAATATACAAGAGACGTGCCTACAAGAGATAAATACGAGTGTGTACCAGAGACGCAATTTTTCGTTATCCATCAAGCTTAGAAGAATTAGATGAAATCAAATTAAACATTTTCGCTCCGGCTGTGACATGCGAATGGTGACGCCCCTCAGTGAACCGACAATTTGAAGAAGGACTATGCATGGCTAAGATGAGTAATAAATAAGAATCACAAAACGAGCTATTGTAGTTCGATGCAGTGGGTGCCAGTAAATGTAATCTGATCAAAACGTCGGTCGTCGTCTGGAAAATGTATCACTGGGCGTCCCTCACAACAGAACGAACATAATCCTCAACACAACTAGAAGCATTTGCACATAGATAGTGCTGTAATACAGATGAAATTCCTTTATATATCGTACTATCCATCACACACTTTGATAAGTCATTCGCAACGATAAACAATCTCACAAATTAACACCATTTGTGTCGATTATCACAGCACATCACCAACAGAGCAAACAAAAAGCTGTGGTCAGAAGAATTTCTCCCACCCTCCACGAGTCATGGCTTCTTCAGGTAACATCACATCGCAACAACTACTCGTCCTCGACCTCTCCCATCAGCATCACTTCTCACCTTTGACTGTTTCATCTTTCATCTGCATCCAACTTCTAAGAAACATTGTCTCTTTTCTTGTTCAGAGAGCATAAGCTCTTAACATAGTACAACGTTTCATTATCTTGTATCACAAGTCGGCATATCAACGCTCATCTGAGAAAAATTAAATGACATCACATAAAGCAGTACTTTACCTTCACAGCAAATGATGCCTTGGGATCTGCCGCAGACTAAGCTCTCTTGCGTGTAGCGAACGCGTCAACTTTTGAAAGTGTTCTCTTCCCAAGTGTCACACTTTTAAGGCACTTCTTGTGTGTTCGCACTGCCACCATCCGGGGATAGCGTTACCCCTTTCACGGCCTCATAGTTTTCCTCAGCCTCGTGTCTGACGTCAGCTCTTTCCGAAGATGCGCTATCTCCCTTCGTACTTCCTAGAGACGTCTTTCGTGCCTCCCCCTCTGCCTCAGGCTCGCCATCAACTTCAGGTTCTTCCTCAAAAGACTGGTAATCATCATTTTCTGTTGAGTCGTTCATAGCGAATCGGTAAAAGGCCCTTCGGAAGCCAGGTTTGTGCGGCATAGCCCACTTCTCGGGAGGTGAGATAAAGCCGATGATCTCCTCGAAGACTTTTTTAAAATGGTTCATATCCAGGCCACTCTCCTCATCGAACAGCTTCGCACTGAGAAGCCTGTAACCTTTCAGCCCCGGCTCGTACAGCACCTCAGCAAGTACAGTCTCGTGACTCACGTCAGCTCCTTCCGTAGGTGAGCTAACTTCCTTTGTACTTCCTAGGGACGTCTTTCGTGCTTCCCCCTCCGCCTCAGGCTGGCAACCAGCTTCAGGTTCTTCGTCAGGAGACTGGGAGTCACCATCCTCCGTTGAGTCGTTCATAGCGAATTGGTCGTAAACTTCTTGCATGTAAGTTTTCCATTGAATAGGCTGCATTGTTAAAGATAGGATGAAGTTGACTATTTCCTCGGCAGCCTCCTTCACAGCGTTCATCCCCGGGCCGCTGTCGTCATCGAACAGCTTCACACTGCGAAGCCTGTTACCTTTCGGCTTCAGCTCGTACACCAGCTCGCTAAAGCAGCTCCCTGCTGCCCGGAGTGGAACCAGGTTTCGGCGGATGAGCGCTGCCAGCAGCAGCAGGCAGACGCAGCGCCGCCTCTCGGCCTGTCGCCAGCAGTCTGTCAGCTCCCGCAGCTGGCGTCGGCGCTCCGCGGGGTCTTCCACCGTCTCCAGGTGATGCAGCAGGTCTTCCCGCGAGAGTGTGTTCCGGTTGACGGGCGCGAGGCCACGCGACAGCCGGGTCAGCATGAAGTCGCCGAAGCTGACGGCCGTGCCGTCTCTGCGGTCTGACTTCACCTGGCGGGCAGTTGGAGCGAGAGTTGGTGTCAACCGATGCAAAATGGGGAGGGGGGGGGGCGAACAGTCGATCGGACTCTAGAGCAATCTTTCAAGAAAAAATCGGTCTACATGTCAATAGCCAAGGATGTCACAACCTACCTGGAGTTTGTCAAGCACTGCGCATGCGTCAGCGCAAATGTCGATCAGTCGCGGCATCTTCAGCACAGCTCGGAAGAGAACATCCACGAGCGCGTACAGTCCGTACTCGGTTTGTACCGACACGTGGCGCATCTTCTCCAGCAGGCGCGGCGCGTTCTCGCCGGTCAGCTTGTTGATGAGGCCGGTGAGCTCTCGGACTGCCCCAAGATCCGGGTGCTCCGAGCTGGAGGGACCTTGGCGACTGTGTGGAGGCGTCCATGCAGGAGCACCTGCGAAAGGACGCAGTCGTCAGAAGTTGTGGGAATAGAATTTGGCAGCATTGGACAAGTTCAGCTTACGTGAATTGGCAGACAAAGTATGTCAAAGCCATTAAGAAACCCTGGGAACCTGGTGCTTCGGTTTGAGAATCTGGTGTCCAGGTTTCCAATCTGGAATTGGCAGGTAGAGCAGAGTACTGGTGGCTCTTTAGGGCGATGAACTCCTAGAGTTGGCGTTATGGAGATCCTGTATGTCAAGTTCCATATTTCTTTCAGCAATTAATAACGAGTCCTGACTTTACAAACACAATCAGGTCAAGAACTGAATTGTAAATGAACTAAATGGAAATCCAGCAGGACGTGACAAGACCTCGTCCTCCCAGTGAGCCCGATGGGGTGATACGCCACCTGCACTGCCGCTGTTCTGTCGTCCGTTGTCCAGCCACCAGCGGACCTCCTCCTCGACAGTGTCTGCCACTGCGTCGACCAGGCTCATCACCTCTTCTCCAGGCTCGGTGATGCCATCGCCTGATGATGAAATAGCAGGTAATATCACTGCTTGTGCGAAGTGAATTACCATAGTTGTGATTGAAGTCCAATGACTCACGGCATATCTGTGGATTTAAATGACTCAACCACAAAAGAAGAGGCACAGACGCTGGTCAATAAGCGGCACTTGCGCGCCTCAACTGCAAGTGACACAAACAGGATAAAGTGATCATAAACACAATCAAAAAGAGAGTAAGCACAGGCAGAAAGGGCAGAAGCTACAACTGATAGATACACAAGATCAGAGAATCACGTACCTCCCAATAGCATCATCATTGGCACGTGGATCGTATCGACCGCATCCAGCTGCTGCAGGGGCTGGTCCAAAACCTCGTTGACGCTCAGCACCGTCTTGTACACATCCTGTAGCTCGTTCTGAAGGTGCATCGCTTTCCGGTCCGTCCGACCTCTCGAAGGCTGTGCAAAGCGCCATGGCCAGGCTCGGGTTCGCCACTCGGCGGCCGCTGAAGCGCTCAGGCCCAGCGCTGAGGGCGGCGTGTCGGCCGGCGTCATCGCCAGCAGGGTCAGCAGCACGACGGTCACCTGACCTCGCCCGCTGCGGGGGTTCGTGACCCGCCGCCACTCGACCAGCGCGGCGGCCGGCAGCCGCAGCAGCTCTGGCAGCGCGTCCAGCGTGTTCGGCCGGAGCTGTAGCGTGCAAAGCGCCGCTCGGAGTCGGCTCTGCTCGTCTCCCAGCAGGACGCGCTCCAGCAGCGGCGCGCCCCACGTGCAGCTGGCCAGCAGCTGGTGATTCTCGCCCCTATGGACGCCAAGCAGCACCAGCGGCTGGGTCGGAGCTCCCAGCAGCGCCGAGAGTCTCGCCTGCAGCGGCACAGCCGCCATGCGGCTGAACGGAAGACTGTGGTCTTCCACCATCGGTGGTAACATTATGGGCACATTATACACGGCTCTGAGGCAACTGGTGTGCACGGCACCGCTAGCTGCCGCTTGTTGCAGCGCTGGCGGATGTGGGAACTTGACCCAGGCGGGGGCGGTTTTAACCGCGGGTGGCGTGGGGTCATACAGTGGTGGCCTGCGGGTAGGGATGGGGCGGATAGAGAGGGCTGGAGTGGGGTCAGTGGGGGCTTGAGTGGGTTCAGTGGGGGCTGGGGGAGCCACAGCAGCAGCAATGTCGCACAACACCATCCCTTTGGGCAGCATCATGGTCCTGGCGTCCCGGAGAAACTCGAGGCTGCTCTTTTCCTGACAGCTCTTGATTCGGAAAATTTCGTCTTTGATGTCCCACTTTTCCTGTTCGGAAATTTGGCATCTGCAGAGCACCTGAAAGAAAGTCATGCTGTCAGCAACCGTTCCCTTATATTTTATAGCTTCGTTGATGGCCTGATTCTGTGCCGCGCCTGGATATACAGCAGATGACATAAACAAGATAGGCATGGTATTTCCATGTCATGTCATCTCTTGGACAAATACCAGCAAGTTGTATTCACGGGCGACACTCGAACGAGTGGCATCTACTCCTACTGATGAGATAACTAATTTAATATGGTTTAGTCAGTTGGCTAGTTTTCACTTGTTGTAAAGTCAAGGGCAAGAGATATGAGTGACAAACCTCTTCCAGGGCAGCTTCGATGGAATCCTGGCCGGAGAGCCAGGGCATCAGTAGGTCCAGTCGTCGGAATGGCTCCTGCTCCGCTGAGTCGTACTGCTCCTCAAGCTTCTCGAAGAACGCGCCGAACAGGGCTGGCGGATGCGGACCGATGCTCGGGATCGTCGAGACGAGAGGCAGCATCTCGGCGGAAATGCCGAATTTCTTCAAGAACCTGTCGATTCAACCGAACAAATGTGTTATGCTTCTTATTTTGTACCTACTGGTTTGGCTAAGAGCGCATGTCACTTATGAGTTGCAACCAAAGAAGTTTACCGTAATCGTGCCGGTGCCTGTTTTTATTTTATTTTTTAGAATGACAACACCAAGCACTTAAAAATGTTTCTTCAAACTTATGCAAATAGATTTCAAACTTTTTGTAAGGGCAATCGGAGGTCAGGCCAATCATGAACACATCGCTGCCTGGATTGTAATCTTCTGTCATATTTCGATTCAGTTGAGCTAAGCTATACGTTTTTTGGTTACTTAGTATGGTGTAATCTCAGGTGTCACAGTCATCACCTTTCTGGTCGGAACACGTCACAGGGCATGTAGAATCCCGTCTGTCCCGGAGGCGGGTGGCGAAGCCGGAGCGTGGCCCTGTTCCAGGGTATCTTGACGGCGACTACGTTCAGGGTCAGGTACTTGCTCTGATCTCCCATGATGGGACAGTCCAGTTTTCGGGCCAGCGCAGTGAACTCGGCGGTGGCATCATTCAAACAGACGATGTGCGGTATCTCCAGGCGCCGAAGTACCTATAAAAGTAGACATTAGTCGTTTTCACGACTGCTGTCTGGTACACACTAGCCGTTTTCACGAAGGAATAGCGGGCCTAATACTATAGATGCATGTTTGGTTCTTTGATACCTCAGGAATTTTAGTAGTTCTATAGTAGGTTCTCCACCTTTCGAATGAGTGGCCGATTACTTTGTTGTTTTTCTACTAAATATTGCATTAATTTATTTTATTTAAGGGGTTACCACTCAAGGCCTGGCAACACTATGCGTTTTCTGCGTGCGTTTTTTGCAGGTTTGCGTTTTTGCGTATAATATCGTTCTAGAAAAAGGTTATAAATAATATCATTTTTACATTAGTTAGATATAAAAGTTTATATTACTCTTATTTTAACTAAAATTCAATGTAAAAAGCATCACAAAAACGTAATATCGTTTATTTTTCTAGAACGATATTATGCAAAACCCGCAAACCCGCAAAAAACGCACACAGAAAACGCATAGTGTAACCAGGCCTTCACGTAAACCTAAAGCGTAAGCACGTTCATGAAATTATCAAATCTATATAAAGCTAGAACAATGATGAGAAAATATACTCAGCTGCCAGCTGCGGGTGACCGAGCTCTCCCAATTCCACGCTCGCTTGGCTTTGGAGCCGCAGCAGACGGCGGAAGTCAATAACCGTGTTTACATAGGGTTCCCTTAATCTTCCCCTATTTGTCTCTTAAATGTCCCTTATAAAGGAATCCTCTGTCTCCTTTACCTCGCTTCACTACAAATATGGCGCAACTAAGTCATTCTAGAAGCAGTTTGCAATTGTTACTTACCTTTAGGGCTCTCCCAAATAGCTTCCAGACTAGACACTGAGGTAAAAGTGATAGCACATGAAAGCTCAAAGCAAGAAAAATCAGAAAACTATCTGGCATTTAACATACTTTTAACGGCTGAGCTATTATTCAAGTAGGTATAATCACATCCACGGCAATATCAGAACACCGCACCTGTCGAATTTCCGCCTTGACTTTCTGCGGTCTGCCGTTTATGCGTTAATGCCAATTGCCACTTAAAGGAAGGGTGCCACCTTTTGGACACAACGCAGTTTTTACAAGATTAGCCTCACATGAACCTAAAAACCGGCTTCACTTACCTATGCTCGAGACGGTCAGCATTGAATCCGCACGTGAAGTTATCATTTGCGAGTTTTGCTGCCAGCATTCGGGCAGGCAAAAATCTTCAGCACTATTTCCTCGTCGTGTTAAGGGTATTTTATAAAACATGAAATCAGCAAAGGTATGTATAAAAGTTATACTTTTGAAGCATGTTTTATCATTTTGAAAGGGTATATTTTTTCTTTATGGTATACACTTAAGTTTTAAAATTTTAATTGGGAAGTTTTTCTAGTAAGTTGCATGAAGGGTGAAGGGTTCCATAGATCTCTTAAGCATTGTAAAGGGAAAACCTTTACTCGACTTATTTGATGTTCTTTTGACGTTCTTGTTCTTTGGCAAATATGGTCAACAGTTACCTACTTGGTTACCTACAACTTAGTTCAAATCATGTTATCTTCTTCCTTTTTATTTGTTCATCTTTTTGTCTCAGTTGCGCCATCAATGCAAATGGCAGAATGATATGTTGCCATGACAACAGGATATGCCAGCCGTCCTAGCTGCCACATCAAACGACCTTGAGTTGTAGTGGTGATATAAACAACGATCTTTTTTTTTGGCCAATGTATTAAATGCAATGTTTCGGTTTTTTTGTATATTGTGGACGCGCTAACCACGTCTAAAAATTCAAATAAGTAAAATAGATTCATAGAACAAAAATTTCGGAAGGTGGCACCCTTCCTTTAAAAATCCTCAGTCGGCGCACGTGCGCTTGTCGAGTCGGGGACCACCATTCGGACGATTCGGAACTGCCGGCCAATCAGCACGCCGCTTTTGTGATGTGATAGTTTGAGAACCACTGGATATGGTAGCGTAGCAGCTTTTGGAAAGGCGCTACGCTACCAAATCCTCCCCTATTTGTCGCTTAAAGAGGGAATTGAAGGGCAGGATAAAATTACTTCAAAATATGAATTGTTGAATTTCGAGTATTAAATAAACCCAATTTATATTGTTTACAGCATAAACGATGCTTAGTATGCTTCTAACAACAATAGCGTCCATAGCAACGTTACACGCGAGCGCTATGATGCCTAAAATTCGATCTGAAAATAGGGGAGAAATAGGGGAAGATTAAGGGAACCCTATGTAAACACGACTAATGTCACTGCTTAGGCGGCGGCAGATTTGATGTGCCCGGGCGAATGATTACTGCTTCTTTTGCTAAAAGATGTTGTTTTTACATGAGGAAATGTGTTCGAAAATTTTCATATTTTATATAAGCTACAATAAAAAAGCATAAATAAGGCTTCAATAATTTTTCTTTAAAAATAAGAAAGGTAATATTCCCCCTTTAAGTTTGCTTACCTGCAAAAATATGTTTTCGTAAAGCAGCTGACTGTTATCATCCTCAGCGAGTAGAAGGCCGTGATCCTTGTATGATTGCTGTATAACATCTGAGTCAAATTCCAAGACCTCCGGCGATATACCCAGCCTGACGGGCAGCTCATCATGGAGCAGCACAACCGGAAAAATCCCGCATCTGTAATATTGGAAAAAAAGTAGCTTCAGCAACAGTTTTAACACGGTCTTTTCCCCCTGCATCACAGTTCCCTTTGACTGTCACCACGGCAGCTTCGCAACAGGAGTACTTTTTATGTATGTACCTCAGGCCCGAGTTAATAACACCGTAAAAACAAAAACGCCCTTTTTTCACGGATTCCAAAGTTCAGCAACATGTTCCTCAAGGCGCACCGGCCGGTCGTCGATATGTGGCAGCAGACTCACTCAGCTGGAGTTTAAGAACCGGGTAGATGGGTACATCCGTTTGAAAGGAGTCATTTAGTCTGCGAGGTGTTAAGTGTCTGACTTTGATCATTTTATTTTAATTTTATTTTGATTTTGATGTATTTATTCATATTTTCACTGTACCTGTAGGGGAAGACGGGGGAACACCGCCCTTTGGGGAACACCGCCTACCCCGATATCAGAAATATGGAAAGGTCTATGGCGACAGCTGTCTTTTTACAGCGTGTCGTCAACAGAAGTGCAGGTATAGGCAGTGAACCGCATTGTTTTAGGTGATTTGCGAGAAATTCCGATTTTTACGTTTTGTGAGTACGTTTTACACTTTTTCTAGCATAATTGTCAGAAAAAAACCTATCTTATTTGACAAACAATAGTTCTGAGGTCAGTTTTACCAACAGAAAATAGCCGGCTGCCGGAATTTTTTGTCTAAAGGCCACTTCACATACGGAGCGTGAACGGTAAAGCCCTATCCGTTTACGTGCCCGACGCATTTACGACGCAAAAAGTATGTGAAGCGATCACTGAACTCTATAATGTGGAATGCGCATCGGCCGCCAGATGGTGTCCAACGGTGCCGCCATGTTGCGCAGACCAGGAAGCGGCCGCCGCCTGTGTTGGGGGAATAGGGAATTCGGTACCTCGATTTACGTTTGCGGTCGCTGCATGCGGTACGTTCAAGCTATGTGGACATGGAACCCGGCATCTTACGCAGAATTGAGTGGAGAACAAGATGGAATCCTAAAAAATCCTCAGATACAAGGAACTAATACGTTAAACCCTTATAAGTCAATGGGGAAATATGAAAATTGCTATATTTGCGCCGAGAATGATCTGAAACTATCTCAAGCATATAGAATCATGATTTCATGCACTCCTTGCAAGGTTCTATGCTTCATATTTGCATTGTTGCCCTTGCGTAACGTCATTTGTGACGTCACAAGTGTCACAATTTTTCTTCAATAACTCCCGATCAAATTGAGCTAGCGAGTCGGGAAAGCCACCAATGGACTCAGGAAGACCTGCCGAATCGAATGATATGCGACATGACCTCTTTCGACCAACTTCGTGACCTGGGGGTGCTGACCTGACCTTGACCTGAGGTCAACACCCTAAGTTGACCTGACCCGAACAAAAAGTATATCACTCGATGCGCCTGAGCTAGCTGAACACGATGGTGCCAAAATCGCGGCTCTACGGCCATTTTTTGGCGAAGTTATTAACCAAAAACCGAACCCGTGCCTTAGATCATTTGACCTGACCTCATAGGTCACCGGTTGACCTGAGACCTTTACAGCGGGTTCCTACCAGTCATTCTGCATTATACTTTGCCGCAAACGACCACTTTACCGCTTAATTCTAGTTTAATTAGCGGCGCATTAGCGAGGTGGGTTCAATCAACCCCCTCGGCCGGGGCAAATGTAGGTCCGGCGAGTGAATTTGAGGAATTCTGAAGATACGATCGTGTTCCCCATTCAATTCTGCGTAAGATGCCGGGTTCCGTATCTACGTAACTTGAACGTAACGGATGCGGCGGCCGCAAACGTAAATCGAGGTCCCGAATTCCCTATTCCTCAACACAGGCGGCAGGCGGTTCCTGGTCTGCGCAATATGGCCGCCACCGTTAGACACTACGGCCAATAGGGTTGAAGCGGCAGTGCTCCCCTGTGGAAGCGGTCTTTAGGCAAACAATTCCGGCAGGCGGATATTTTTCTGTTGGTAAATCTGGCCTCAGAAGTAGTATTGTTTGCCATAATTAGGATTCATGCAAACATTTCGTGCTTCCGCTCGAGCGCCATTTTTGTCATGCTGCCATATTGAATGATTTTTTTTTTTTAAGAAAAATGCAGACCCTTGGGTAACACCGCCCACTTTGGCAGTTTGGTATTAGCCGTTTTCACGACGGGTGATCAGGCGAGTGAACCTAATTTGACCAAATCTGGACCTAATCTGTTTTACAGCAAATATCTTTATTTTAGGAGTTTATTTCAGTGTTTTAAATCGATGATACTCTCTAATAATATGACAAAGCAGACATATAAGCAATTAGTGTTACCTTAAATGATAAATACTAAGAAATACACTGAGCCTAATGTGACCAAATCTGCACATAATCTGCACCAAATGTGTACCAGATGGCCGCCGTGAAAACGGGTATTAAATAGCACATTGTGGTGGTTGTGTGTGTGTGTGTGTGTTGTGTATTTTGGTAACCAAGAACAAAAAACATCGGAGAAAATAATCGCGGATCGGCGCAAAAGCAACCTCAGGAGTGACGCATTTCAAATAAAAACTTTGTTGCTATGCTTTCTTTTTAGAGGATGATGAGAAATTTCGAGAAAATATACTTTTGGGACTTCAAGTCGCCTAGTTGTATAAATGGGTACTACATTGTACCAGGGTCATAACAAAATTGGTCCCACTGCATTTTATGAATATACTAAAATGCCTAGAAATTTACGATAAGAACAACGACTTAATAGTTCAGCAAACTGAAAATTTTGTTGCCTGCTGAGCTCGGGCGGTGTTACCAATGGACGGTGTTACCCCGAAAAATGTAGACATTTACTAAATGTGGAATAATGCAATTATGAAAGAAACAACAAGAAAATAATTGGATGATAGGTATGTAAAATTAATGCGACAATCCAATGAAACTGAGAGATTGACCATATGGCCAAAAACTACGTAACTAGACCCTAAAAGGTTAACCCTCGCCCATAAACGGTGTTTTGCCACCTTCGCCCATGCAGGGGGGTTGGTGCGACCCCCCCTGGCGTTTGAAAACGGAGCGTCGTAGAGCATGCGGAAAAGACCAACGGATTGCTCTCAACGAGATCTCGCGATTGGTGGTATATTTTTTGGTCCTAGGTCAACATTTGACCAACTTATGACCAATCAAATGTCAAATTTTCGGAAAAATCTAACTTTTTCAGATTTCCGCGCCGATTGCGGCAAAACGGTAAGAGATATCGACTTGAAACCTTCCCTATTGTGATCCTTGATCAATTCTCTATCGTTTGGTGTGTATTTCGATGTCATAACTCTAAAAATGATGCGTTGGGAGCATCGGAAGTCTGCAAGGTCATTTGTGCATGGGGTCACGTCACGCGTGTGACGTCACTGACCTGACCCTGACCCAAAATGAACTACAAGAAACAACCGAAGATGCCTGAAATGGATAGCAAATTCGAATTCAGGGCATCAAAATACCCCGAAAAGGCATACAAGTGCAAGAAGTCATTACAGGTCAAACGAGGTCACTGACCTTACCTTGACCTTAAGTAACCTTCAAAATGTCAACGGACATTGTGCCAATGTCAAATCAGCCAGTTGTGATTCTAAAACAATCCATCAGTGTGTCAGGTCAGTCGGCATTTATACCAATGTGAAGCAATATCCAATTTAGCGTAAATCTGGCCGGAGGTTGTTCCCTTTATGACGTCATAACTCCGTGACCTGACATAACCTTGACAAAAAAATATCAAAAGCTGCGCAAAGGATGTCCCAGAATGTACTGAGAATTTGAGCAGGCTATCTGAAACGGTTCGGCGTGTAGCTAAGAAAAACCTCAGGGGGGGGGGTTGCACCAACCCCCCTACATGTTGTTGTTGTTGTTGTTGTTGTTTCCCCCGGAGTCCACCGGTGGTACATATATTTAATCATCAACGAAAGAAGCATTTGAGATCAGCATCGGGAGATTGAGTGAAACGTGAATCAATAAATGGCGCTGCATAGGGCTAAAGGTGAGGATAGGATTTGTTTAACAGTTAGAATTGATTAGAAGAGTGCAGAAGATTATAGTGGTTAGAAGGTTGGGAGGCAGCACCATTTATGATACGATCACAAATGTCCTTCCCTACACATTAATAATATCTCGTGCCTGTATATGTAGTGTAGAGTGTATACCTTTATGGAACCTCTATACCTTTATTATTGTTTTTACCTACGCTTGACTGCGTCCGTCATTGGGTCCGTCATGTTTTCCCAATAAACAAAACTAAACTAAACTAAACTAACACCCAACATCGCGCTGTGTGCCGAACTTCCACAATCCACATCCTTTACGGACGGGCCTCAAACATTTTAAACGCCCTGGTGCCAGGCATACCTTTGCAAAAATGCAAGTGTCAGCAAGGCCGTTCCGTCGCTCATTACGTTGTAAAAAACACTTTAACTCCCGACGTTTCGCTGTTTACTGCTTAGTCATGGGAAGTCATGTTACTGCTTCTAGTGTTTTTTTACAACGTAATGAGCGACGGAACGGCCTTGCTGACACTTGCATTTTTACACATCTGTCAAATACTTATATTAAATACCTTTGCAAATCGCAGAAGAACATTGCCACGTTCCCGGCATAATTTTGGTAGATGCCTCCTTTGTCTGTTTCATCATAACACCAATCTTTCAGTGATATCATGAGATCATTGCCATCAATCACCAACGGACAGTTGGAGACACATTCTTCGCAAAGCAGGCCGTGCTTTCTTGCAAATAACGTCAGGTGTTCGATCATCGCTGGAATGGATGAAGGCTCGCGTCAGTTACCGCATTATCACTGAAATATTTCGCCACGTATGTCGTATATGTGTAGGTACTGTACTTAAGTAGTCCCACTGATATCTATCATCAAAGGAAAAAAGAGCATGAAATACGTCGGAACTGCTATGCAAACTTCCTTTCAGGGGTAGAAGACTCAAGACAATAAAATGGCATCATTGCGATTCCTCAACCAAATTAATGGCGATAACTATCGTCCTTTTTAATCTCCGTCATGAGTTTATGTACACATAATCCGTATAACGGCAAAAATCAAAACTGCTGATGACTTCTCACCGTTTGCTTGATCCGGGAAATGTTGCTGTCAAGTAGCCACCATGGGTTCGTCCGGGTCAGCCCAGGTCACACACGCTACCAAACAGCAGGCCGGCCTCACCCAACTGTCTGACCTGTGACAGCTGGTCATTGGTAGCTCTCATCCACCTCTGCACAGCGCCACCCGTCCCATCCCCGCTGCGATTGAACCAATCAACTTGCACGATACCGTCATCAGGTGGCAGTCTATCTAATCTATCACGAGTGTTTTGTTGAGACCAAGCTCTTTCCCTCTAAAAAAATGCAGAGCTTCTGGCTGGTGTAGCCAGTAGAAACACTGTAAGATACAGATATCTCTTGTATTTCGCCACAAAATCGAGACATATATAGTTTTACATACGAACTTACTTATCTAGTATTGCACACATGTTGGCGAGAACATCGAATGTAATAAACGAATACATATGGTTTTTAATATACACATAGCCAATGCAGTTGTCCAAACAATACAGCAGTTTAAGCGAACGGAACGTTAAAAGGGGGGCGCACAACTTTTTTTTTTTTTTTTTAAATTTAGTCCGAACCTTTTGATAGGAAGGATTCACAAGGACAGAGCCACCGCTAAGCGAAGCTTGTTGCGGTGACCCTGCCCTCTACCCTCCGATCGCGCAATTCCAGTGCTATGGCAGAATTTAGAGTCCAAAGTTTAACGTGCGCACATAGCCGCGCACGGCCGGTCCCCTCACTGACTTCGCCTGGCTACGGCCTGCCACCAACCGCAACCATACCTGTCAGGAGGCCCATAAATGTCGAGCGCCCGTCGCGCTTCGAACCCGGACTGTTATAACCGGGAACGCGTGCTCTCACCACGCGGAGTCCAACGCTCTACCAACTGAGCTACGGGACCGGCTTAATCGAAGGCTTTAGCAATTTAGAGACTGGTAAAAGCGACACCTATTAACAAAACTGTAACTCGCGGTTCACAGCATCTAGCGGTGACCGGCGGAAGTAAACGCGCCTAGCGGTGACCGGCGGTACATGCAGGGGCTACAAGCTATGGGATGATAAGATAGGGTGTAGATATTGGAAGCTGCGGTGGTCCATCGCGGTGGGAGAGACTGTCCCGGTGAGGCGGCAATGTCCCGATGGGAACGCCCGCCCTGCCACTCAAACGGTCGCCCCGGAGAGGATGCTAGTCCGCTGAGGAGTTGGCCTCTCCACCGGCGCGGTTGTCCGGGGGGGTTGACCGCCAGCAGGGACATGTGAGAGGATGCGGATCGGTTTATCATGAGGATGACATGGACATATGACTTAAGACGGCAGGGGAGATAGCTCGAGCGAAGGTGACATACGACGCAGTGCCAGATTATGATTTTGATAGGTGCACTTGTGTCTATCTATAAATCGGACTCATAAGGGCCCCTGGGGCCGTATTCACGTCGATCATTTTCGTAAGAATTTTCTTAAGCTTGACCTACTTCTTAACCCGCGCCCCACTGGGGTCTGTGTATAACACGCCCTACTGGGGGGGGGGGGGGCTATTCATAGCCCCCCTCCTAACTCCAAAACTACTGGGCCGATCGTCAAAATTCAAACGGCGTCTGATAGCCCCGGAAAAACTGTCGAGCGAAACCTAATTTCATTGACCTCGAGGTCACCGATGACGTCACAGGCCAGGTCAAATAAAAATTATTAGCATTTTGGCTTGTTCACATTTTGGGCTCTGGCCGCCGTCTTACAAGTCAGATCAGGCTCATTTTTGGTTTCCACACTCGTGAAGAGATGCTCTAGATACTTTGAGGGTACCAAACTTGTACTTTGATTTTCAGGTCAGGGTCAGGTCATCACAGGTCACGAAAATATTATATCATGCGTCGGTCACGTGACACATGTTTTATGGTCCATTTAGGCCATAGATTTCGAATTTGATGTCGTCTGTGTCATTCGAGGTCATTTGGAGTCGAATTTCGCTTAGGTCAGGTCACTTTCAGGTCAAAAAAGGTCAAATTTTGAAGTTTACATTTTTCAACAAAAAAGGTGTCTAATGGATGCAGTTTGAGCTCAGGAACACGATGGTGCCATTTATATTGGTGTACGATGTCAAATACGTACTGAAAAATTGATTTGAAAAATTAATAATTGTGATTTTTTTGCAATAATGCGTATAACTTGGCCATTTTTGAAGATATTTAGCTAAAACTTGCTAGAGTTAGTCAACATTATGCGTTCTGTCACATATATTCCGTTTTTTTCGAAAAGTCAAAAAACTTTTTGAAAAAAGTATAAAAATATAAGTTTTGAATATTATTATATAAAATTTTCCAAATTTTCAAAATTTTTGAAAATCCGAGATAGCAGTTTGATAGCGCTGTCAATTCTGAGTCCTTTCATGCAAAGAAATTGGATCTAGCTTAAAAACTGAGCTCTTGGGAGCGATTGCCGTGGTTCAATGTTTTGCGTCGAAATCGGACGAACATGACGTCACTCTGACGTCATTTCCGGCCGACCTATGGTAGCTACAAAGTTCAAATTTTGACACAAGGTGTCAAATTGATGCAGCCGAAGGTCCTGAAAGTTTGGCGTCGATCCGTCAAGCGGTTTGGAAGTTATTGCAGAAAAACGGGAGGGGGGCTATAAATAGCCCCCTCCCAGTGGGGCGCGGGTTAAGTAATTTTTTTTTTTATTCACGTGAACTCCGTCGATAAAAACTTAAGAAGTGTCGACGTGAATACCAAATTATACTTTACGAAAGAAAATCGACTTACGAAGTCGACGTGAATACGGCCCCTGGTCTTAATGCTTAAAGACATCATCTACGATAAAACTTACACGATATTCGTGATCAGCACCCCGAAAACTCCCATAGCAGCCATACTTTACGACTTTCTAGCAGGCCCTGATTTTCCCGACGTTTGGGTCATTGACCTGACCTGGAAGGTCAACCGATGACCTAGGATCTTAAAATTGGGCATCATCGGCTTTCTCTCGTGACGGGCAGCACGCTCGTTTTTTTCCGCGAAGCTCTAGCGAACTGGTGCTGGTGGTCGTGTCACCAGTGCCGGTGGTGCTGGACTCATTGGACGTGGTGCCAGCGTGATTGGTGTTGGCTTTGGACCCGGGCTGGTCGGCAGTAACCTTGGTGGGTTTCCGAGTTAACGTGTTTCAACAGTGTATGGGTACTTGTTTGTGTTTTGCCGAAGACGTTTGTACAATAAACTGAAAGAAGACAATGGCACATGTAGCACGTTAGATAGTCGTTACAAGAACAATAAATATTATTAGGCTAGGAGACTTAAAGTGGAAATAGACCACGTTGCTATATGTAGAAACGGACTATCAGTCACCGCTATGACGTTGGATTGTCAATTTTCCGCCTTCGAGCAGCTGATAGGTATGTCCGTGGCATAGCGCCTTTTTGAACTCGAAACAACAGGACTGGAGGGCTAGGAAGACATTTTCCCGAAATTGGTGCTCGCTTATGGATGCTATTCCAATCATGTGTGCACTACATGACGACAACGAATGCCATTGTTCTTTGCTCTGTGTTCATTCACGGGTTATTGGGCTATACCAGACTCGTGGGTGCAATGCGTACCCCCCCCCCCTCCCCCCTATGTCCCGGCGAGAGATCAATCATTCATATTTGTAACGGAAAAAAATCTCGCACCCCCCCTGCAAGTCGAGCGGCTTCTGCTAGCCACATGTTCTTGCTATGTGACCACGGTTACTGGACGGCGACCAGCCCCCATCACTTCTCGACCTCTCCCTTAGCCCGCGGCGCTTGTTGCGGTCAAGTTGCAGTCACGGGTCAAGGCCGTATATAGGTTGCGGTCACGTGTCGGGAATCGCTCAGTGCTTTCAGTGTCTCTCAAACTTTTCTGCTCAGCCGTGGCTGGGACAGGTGGCGCCCTCCCCTCAGTGCATCGATACTTTCAGGAGAGCATACAGTCTTACTTTCAAAGAAGCTGACAGCAAAGAAATGCAAATAACAGACAAACTTTCCCACACCATCATCAAGCATATAATATCAATATCTAAATGCATGCAATGCATTAACAAACACACTTATTTTATTCTACAACATTGTAAAGCTGGGACGTCATACTTGACACACGGAAGTATATTTTATTACCCACCATTTCAAAGTTTAGGTCAGTCCTTCAACACTTCTTGACAAAATATAACAAAATGGTACGATCAGATACAACAATGGGCTTATCCAAGGCAATCGTGAAAGCGTTACGTTACAAGAGCTGACCTTTCCTAGGTCAATTGTCAAAATAGCCACCCTGATTAGTCAAAGAAATTGCGATACAATTCTTGCCTTTCCTCAGCCAGCGGTAACTTTTCTAGTGCGCATGACATCTACCCGTAATACGGCTGGGGATATCCGTATCCAGGATATCCGTTTCCACCGTAGCTCTGGTATCCATAATCGGGGAAACCATAGGGTCTATATCCCTGGTATCCATAAGGGCGATATCCCTGGTATCCATAAGGACGATATCCCTGGTATCCATAAGACCGATATCCCTGGTATCCATAAGGCCGATATCCCTGCTGTCCATAGGGTCCATACCCCTGGTATCCATAACCGCCGTGCCCAAAGTTTCCAACTCCGGGGCCTCCAGTCAGCTGTCCTTGTCCTACTCCACCAAACGCTCCGCGGATCGCTCCTCCGCGAATCGCTCCGCCCTGGATCGCTCCTCCCTGGATCGTTCCTCCATGGATCGCTCCTCCGTGGATCGCTCCTTCGTGGATCGCTCCTGCTCCTGCACTAACGGCACCATGAGCGGCATCGTGTACCACTGCGCCTTGCACAGCGCCACCGCGCGTCGCCGGCGGATGGTGCGCCACGCCCTCATAGGTCACCCTGGCGTTGTAGCCCGAGTTGCCGTCCACCCAGTAGGTGACGATCTGCCTCCGGCCGTCGGGAAGCAGCGTCGAGTACGAGCCCTCGGTGCGGTGTCCGAGACGCGTCTCCTGGACGTGGTTGTCTATTCCAGAGTGCGGGTCGGTGGTGCTATGTCCGTAGCTGTAGTTAGGGATAGAGTAGTCGCCAGGAGCAGTGCTGGCCACTGCGGCCGCCACCAGCGCCGAGAGGATGATCAGCTGACGGCAGACGGTGACGTCATTGGGGGCATACAGTGACGTCCGAGGAGAGGAGATGCGACAGCAAAGGGTAGACGATGACATCGTTGCAGTGCAGAATGACGTCAGATGATAGAAAAGGTTAACGTCTTGCAAACATTCTAGCTTGCGTATAAATTTATGCTACCGTAAGGTGGGGCTATTTGAGACAGTGGGGCTATTTGAGACAGTATTTAGAATTGTTATAAAATAAAAACCGTTTGAAATTCATGCTTAATTTTTGCTCAGGCGATTTACCGCTCGATTCCACACCTTCCTGAGCAAAAATATCACATAAAATTCAAACGCTCCTCATTTTATAGCCATTTTAAAAACTGTCTCAAATAGCCCCACTGCCTCAAATAGCCCCACTTTACGGTATATAATATTCCTACCATTTTATTATGGACGAAATTAGTGACTAAAAGCTTTGAAATTCAGGCAGAATAAAAAATTGAGTAAAAGATGAACATCATAATTGACCTTATAGAAGCTTCAGGAATGAGGAAAGGTTATGTTCTCAGAAAGACCCTATAGAAAAACACAGAAAACGTGCTACGGGTATGGCAATGTTGCCTAAAAAAAAAACTAATATCCCGAGAAACCATGAGACGGCACCATGTGCAAGAAAAGAAAGACGGAATCCTGTGCAAGAAACAAAGAGCAATAATAATTTCTCAATTTTTAACCTCGGACGGCATTGACATCGAAAACAGATTAGAGAAGCAGTAGTTCACCAGCCTATTCAATTTTCATTTTTAATATATGATTTCAAGTTTTTACGACTAGACATCTTAATACAAGGTAGGAACGTTTTTCGGCTACTAGTCGTTTATTGTTTTCGTTTCCGAAACGAAAATTACTAGTACAATTACTAGTCGTTATTGTTTTCGTTTTCGAAACGAAAACAATAAACGACTAGTAGCCGAAAAACGTTCCTACCTTGTTTCATTTTTAAGCTGAACGAACTGAACAATTGTACGAGTAGGCTTCCAATATCAATATGAAAACCATTCTTTAGCCACCCGGAAATGTGGTTAAATCGCTTCGTTTGCGCTCTCTCACCTGCATGACTGTGATATGGTCACACCCGTCCCAGACTGACGCTATTTCCTCATTGCCCGCTGTCTTATATAGCCCACGCCCTGCCCCACCCTGGATTATGAAAATCTTTCTGTCATGCCCCCGCGGTAGAAGGCACCGAACAGTGAACGCCAACGGTACATGTGGTAGAAAAATCCAGAATTGGTTAATCATTATCTGCGTATAACTGTCATCCATTTTGATATGAGTGTAAATTCGGTGAGCCAATTCGTGTGTATGAAATATGTGGCTTAGAAAACCACGGTTCACTGGGCAAACGCCACCGGGCACTTTTGTGTGCTCTTTATCACCGACCACTATATATCTATATAATGGTCTATCTATATATCACAGACCACTATATATAAATATATAGTGGTCTGTGTCTTTATTTATTACTTTGTATTGAAATTCAATGTTTAATGTAATAACAGATGACTGTATTTATAAAATCACATTAGCCGTTTTCACGACGGCCGTCTGGACACATTTGGTGCACATCTGGTGCAGATCAGGTGCAGATTTGGTCAAATCAGGTTCAGTGTCTCTCTATAGTAGCTATCAGCTAGGGTTACCTATGTACACTAATTGCTCATATATGCCTGCTTTGTCGTATTACAGAGAGCATCATCGATTAAAACACTGAAATAAATTAATAAAATGAAGATATCTGCTGTAAAAGAGATTAGGTGCAGATTTGGTCAAATTAGGTGCACTCGCCGGAGAGACCGTCGTGAAAACGGCTAATTATGACCACGAGGTTGACTGCATGGATAAAGTGAGGTAGATAAATAAGTCTTTGATTTGAGTTGAAGTTTAAATAGTCATAGCATTCTCCCCAGATTTTCTTTTTTCTCTCTGTCTGCTCTTTATCTGTCTTGCTGTCTGTCTGTCTGTGTCTGTCTGCCTGCCTGTCTCTGACTCTGTCTCTGTCTCTGCCTCTGGCTGTCTGTCTGTCTGTCTGTCTGTCTCTCTCTCTCTCTCTTTCTCTCTCTCTCTCTCTCTCTCTCTCTCTCTCTCTCTCTCTCTCTCTCTCTCTCTCTCTCTCTCTCTCTCTCTCTCTCTCTCTTCCTCTCCCGTCTCTTGCCGTTCAAGCAAAATACTCTTATTAGGCATAAGACAAAATACATACATTTATATACACATATACATTATACATTTGTACAAAACATATACATTTGTATTTAGCTTTTGCCGCTTCCCCACCCCGGGCCCCTAAAGGATGGTTTATGGCTTGACATAATGTCCAATCATCTGCAGCTGCACTCGGAAATTCCAGCCGGCGTGCACTGTGCAACGTGCACTGAGCACGTTGGACTAAATAATTATCTGACCGGATGTAAGTCAGCTGACGAGTGAAGTCCCTGTATTGAGTGAACCACACCATAACGCTCATCCCCAATGGAAGCATGACACATCCTGAAAAGATGAAACGAACTGAATCAAATTGCCTAAAAGATAATGCAAATGATCCAGTAAAACACGTAAAATGTGTCGGCGCAATACGACGCAAAGTGGCAGACTTTCACAAACCGCCGCAGACAGCTAGCTACAACTGGTATACAACCCGCTACAGACCAACCAGAGACTACCACAAACTGACTGCTACGATTGCCACAAACACACGCGCGCTGACACATGACAGAATAAGACAGAACTTACACAGAATTACGATACGTTGCACAGACATGTTGCAGGCTGCAAAATCCAAAAAATGCCGTTATTAATGCGACACTTCCGGTGACCTTGTGTTGACGCAGTGGGGTTTGGCCGGTCACGACACTGCATTTGCTGGTGCCTATGACGTAATATAATTGATGTTTTTTTATAAATTTAGTCCGAATGGTTGAATGGGCGGATTTTGAGGAATAAGAGCCCGCACTAAGCATAGCTTGTTGCGCTGACCCTGACCCCACCACCCGTTCGTGCAATTCCAATTGTATGGCAGAATTTTGTCCGAACGTTCGTACCCTCACGACTGGACAGTGGACACGGTCCCCTCCGCTCACTCACGATACCTGGCTTCTGTGCGGCCCCTGCCACAGAAACGCACGCCATTACACGTAGGAGCTAAATGTGGCCGCCCGCGCCGGGGCTTGAACCGCGCTCTCGCTACCGGCTAAGCGTCGAATTCCGGCGCTTTTATCCACTCGGCCACCGAGAGGATAGGATCTTCGACGTCATCAGGTGATGTTAAATGCTGTCTGCCTTTGTAAACTCTTTCCTTGCGATTTTTAGCGCTATAATCCGATTTCATGTTGTTGTTTTTCAGGGAAGTTTCGTTTCCCGTCAGCTTCGACCAATCAGGGTTGTTGAGTGAGGGGATAAGATACACTCAACACTGGCGGATTCAGAATGGCAATATTGGACGCTGCGGGGGTCACACCCCTAAAAAGTTTCTCAAAATTTCAAAAACATATCGGGTTTTAGTTTCTTACGCACTGCTGTGCAGTTTAAAACAAAGTTGTATTGTACCGGGTGTTCATTAAAGGTAGACTGCCACCTTTTTTCCACAAAACGGTTTTCACTAGAGCTGAGCCACCTATGTCCCAGACTGAAGTCGGTTTTCCGAAATTCGAACCCGTTTGCGAGAAATCGGAGACCAAAGTTCAGTTTGATGCCATTTTTTTTAGTCCAAGAAAACCGACATCTCTACTGTTTATCGATAACTTTGAAACATGAATTTTCTTATCTTTTGGTAAATATATGTCAAAACTTTGATTGTTTCGAGATCAGAGTAGAATTTTGGAGTGTCAAAATAAAAGTTAAACTTATATATTCAGTAGTTCATTTTTTCCAAAAAAGTGTGGGAAATGGGGTTTAACCCTCGCCCGTATAGGGGGGGGGGGGGTCGAACGGACCCCCCCCTCGGTTTTTCGCGAATAACTCGCGTAAAAAGCGGCCGATCGCGACGAAACTTTCAGTACCCTCGCGTTAATCAATTTTACACCTACCCTGAAATTTTCATGACCCTGACCCTAATGACCTTTGACCTGTGGCCTACTTTTCGAGACCATGTTTGGCCGGAATCGCGATTCGGCGTATGTCGGCTCGCATTAGCCGCGCGTTTGCAGTCTTTTCGTGGTTTCAAGCGTTCAAACATGGGATATGATGTTGCTCCCATGCATTAGGGTGGGTGTCAAGGTCACCGGAAGGTCAGGTCAGGTCATTGACCTTTGATGACCTCGGTTCACTTTTTCGAGTTTTACATGTTTCTAGGCCAGTTTTTGGAGCTGAATTCGAATTTAGCAACCATATGAACATTTACGAAGTAGTTTTGGCACCTTCGTAACATGTTACGAAGCTGTCAGAGGCGGCTGCCACCTACTAGGAATACCCGGCTGGTTGACCTGACCTGACCTGACCCGACCTGGCCTAAATGTATGAAGACATCATCTGTGATCAAAACTAACATGATATTCGTGATCGGCACCCCGAAAAACCCATTAGCAGCCACGCTTTACGACTTTCTAACAGGTCCCGATTTCCCCGACTTTTGGGTCATTGACCTGACCTGGAAGGTCAACCGATGACCTAGGACCTTAAAATTGGGTATCATCGGCTTCCTCTCGTCACGGGCAACACGCTCGTTTTTTCCGCGAAGCTCTAGCTCGATCAGGGGCGAAACGGCAAGGGGGGGGTCCAACGGACCCCCCCCCCCCTTATACGTTCGCGGCTGGAAAAACACCAATACGGGCGCGGGTTAAGATGGGCCAGACCCATTCCAAATGAGCCATGATTTTTTTAATGTTTTACGAATTTAAATGCAAAATAAATTAAACATGGCCAATTTCTCATGAAATCATATATTAGTAAATCATAAAATACCTTACTTTTTCAAATAAAATGTAATAATCTTATGACCTTGAAGTCTAGTGATGTGTAAACATTGTCGCTAGACATTAACCGATTGATAATTGTATGAAAATCGACAATTTTTTTCGCGATTCACGTGATGATACTTTGTCAGGTGAATTCTAAAATTTTGTTTTGTCCAGGGAATAAATCATAGGCCGATCTGAGAAAACTTTTTAAAGGTGGCAGTCTTCCTTTAATGAATGGAATAAAGTAGCTGCGTCACGTGATAACAATAAATCACGTACGCGCATTTTTTGCCTTGTAAATATGAAGCAAAGGCATTATCATTTTTTATACATGATAACTTTAATCACGGCGTCATCCAAACGCTTGTGAATGGCTCTGGTTTCGAAGAGCCCAAATCGGCACTTCAAGACAAACTCGCCGTTCAATTATGAACAAGCGGGTTGGGTTGTGGAGAAGTGTGCCGGGTTGGAAAGTCTTACCGTGGTTAGGCAGGCTTTCCGCCTTAAGTTCTTTCCGAGAAAACCAGCAGCAATACCATATCTGAATGCTTTTCAGCGTTTGGTGGAAAGATTTAGGATGGTTGCAGCGACACGGCCATGTGTGCGCTCCGGGCGCCAGCCGATGACCCCTGGTGAAATGGAAAAGGTCAAGGATTTCTTCCGGAAAAATGCCACAGCTCATGCTCGGCAGGCGTGCGGAGAGCTTAAAATGTCCATTGGAAAGGTATTGAAGATCCTAATTCTGTCATGGCCTCCCTCGATCGAAGTTCAACGATCTCGCGCGGAAGTACCCATCTGCACTGGCCCGCATACAGTCCCGACCTGTCCTGCCTGGATTTCTCGTTCTGGACCCAAGCTTTGGATCGCGTGATGGAATCGGAGCCGGAAACAATCAAAGAACTGAAGAAGGTCGTGGAGGACTTCGCCAGAACATAAGCAAGCAAAGAGCAGCTGAGGAAGATGGTCCGGCACACACAGCGACGGGCAGAGCCGTGCGTGGCGGAGTGAGGTGGCTACTTTGAGCACCTCCTGTAGGAGACACGAGTGGCAAGCGGTGATCGCGGTGATGTCATCATAAATGATAACCTCTCCTGAAAATGCATTGTGTGATTTGATAACGTGAGATGAATATATATCTTTCTGGTGCCTACTTACTTTATTCCA